TATATATATATATATATATATATATATATATATATATGGAAAAAAGNTCATGTCAGCCCATGGGTTGACTACTACAGTAAACACCCACGGATCTGACGGTCAAGATCTCATTTCGTATTTGAATTTTTATTTGTTTTTTACAAATCCAAACCACTTGAAATTTGGGATGTCTATTCTTCAAAAATAGTTGAATCTAATGAAAATATAAAAAATAATAGTTCGTGAAATATAAATTGACTAAAATACTCCCAAAACGTTTCAAGGGTATTTTGATCAATTTATAGTTTACGAATTATTTTTTTATATTTTTATTAAGTGCACCTTAATGAGAAAAATGAACACTCTAAATTTCAAGTTATTTGGATTTATAGAAAAAAATTAAAATTCAAATACGAAATGAGGTCGTGACTCTTAAATCAGCTAAGAATCAATCTGGGTCATGGGCGTTTACTGTAGTAATCTGCCCGTGGGCGTATGGAATCCACTCCATATATATATATATATATATATATGATACCATAAATAGTGGAAGCATAAACATAAAAAGGAAAGAGTAACATTCATACATAATAACATTGAACAGAAGTATAAAAACATAACAGAGATAGTTACTTACATGAAAGCTTGAAGTAGAGGTGAGAGGCAGAAAACAAAATGAAAGCTCGAAGTAAGGGTGAGAGGCAGAAAACAAACTTGAAGTACTCCTAGTAAGTACTCAGGCTTACAACAATCACTCTAAAATTATAATCACTCAAACTTACAACAATTACTCAGAATACTAAAACCCTAGCTATGATATTCAGAAGGAAATCCCGAGGTCTCCTCCTTCTGAGGCATGGTCCTCCTTTTATAGAAGAGGGGAGGGCAGACTCTAAACGTTCTTAAGTCCGCACTGACAAGGTAGATGCCTTTTCTTTCATGTCAAAGCAAAAGCACATATTCTTGTCGCTTTTTACTATAGCAATAGTGTCTGCAATAATGCTTCTTTTACTGTAACAATAGTGATTGATGTTTACTGTAGCAACAGTGTCGGCAATAATGCTTCTTTTACCATCGTTTTTTGGAGACACATGTTCTGAATGGTGATGGAGTCGTACCGTCCCTGATATTTTATCTAATTTAGTTGGGAAAATATCCCCATACAATGATCTTCATTTGGAGGGTCCAGATCTTCGGTTTCTGTTTTATTTGAGGAAGTTGGTATTTTAACTTCGACTTCTTCTTCCAGGGAAACGAGTAATGTTTTCCTGAGCTCTACTTTTGACCGAGTGGGATTTTTCTGTTGCATTAGAACAATGTAGTCGAAGAATCCCAATCTGATTCTGGTGAAGAATTTGGAATTGCCTTCAAACATATTTTTTTGGGATCTAGATAATCATTCTTATAGTTGTCCCACCATTTAATTGAAATTTGTCTTTGTAGTTCTGGAATATAATCCCACCGGTCTAAGTCATCTTCAGAAATCTGGTAGGACCATTTTAAAATCCAGGGAACTTGATATAGGGCCATGAAATATATGTGATAGTCTCGTTTTAGACTAGCTTTATTATATTCAAAGAATTTTCTCTGTAATATTTGGAATTTTTCTGGAAGTATTTGGCTTAATGATCCCCATAACAAGAACCAACTTTTAAACTAGTTTAAAAATTCTTTTGGCTCAGTTCTTTTAACTGCACATACCAGCTGTGTCTATTTTTTGCATTCTTGTAGGTAAAGACTGTCCATGCCTTAATATATTCAAAATAATGATATGATTTGATTTTAAATCCTTTGGTAATTAATGCCCTTGGTTTTAAGGGATTTAGGCCCCAGTCATTATAAGAGATAATCTTATGTATTTGGAATTTTGAATATGTTATTTCAGTGTCATTGTTTCTATAGTGGTGTACTATTGACACCAACCCGGTTTCCATTAAACTAGCTTCATGCCATTCTCTACAGCTTTCTCCCATATTAGGATGTAGATGATGGCGCAGATATATGGCGGCTAATTCAACAGGGTCTTTTTCCCTGTGTTCATTTTCTATTATAATCAGCGGGACATAAGCTGTATCAAGAAATGGAGTTCTATCAAGGTTTGGACTATTATAACTTAAAGGGGATTGTTGAATCTCTTGAGCTTGCTTTCTTATTAAAGCATTCGGATTTGATGAGGATGCCAGGGATTTTCTTGGGCTTGAACTATTTGTAGCCATGTATTTTCTTGGGCTATTATATATAGTCAGGTATTTTCCTCAGCTAGGGACTATATCCATCGGCTGTATTCTCAGCTTTTGGCTTCTCCTTCCCTCCCTGCAAAAATTCTCTAGTCAAAAAGTCAAGACGATGATTATTTTTCCCTTGAATATATTCAATATCAAAATCAAAAGCGGAAAGAATACCTTTCCATCGAGC